AAATTATATGAAAACAAACAAACAAAAAAAGTAGCTAGAACTCTGAATCCAATGCAGACTGGAAAAGTCTAGAATTTTTTTTTTATTTAATTTTATAAATTGCATTGTGCAAAAAAAAGTGCAGAGTGCATGAGTTAAAAACAAATGGACACTTAACTCAGATGCAATTTTTTTTGCACAATGCAATTTATAAAAAAAATTAATTAATACAATTCTAGACTTTTCCAGTCTGCATTGGATTCAGTGTGCGGCTAGCTAGTTTTTTGTCCGTTTTCAAGCATCTCCTCGGCTCTACGCACCTGCAGTAAAATGATTTATTTTTTCCTATTTGGAGGGCTACAATTTTTCTTAAGTTCCACTGTCAAATTACATGAAATGTCCCAGTAGATCTATTACAGTTTTTCATCATATATAGTATGATAACTTAGTTATCCAATTACAGGTTTTTACTGTTGCATTTTTACAGTCTTTCACCATTAAAATGAAGAAATCTTTTAAACGAATGCTCAAACTGATGGTTAGTGGTTTGAACCAACTTATATTCCTAAGTATTAAACTTTGGTGTACAACTTACACCACCTAGTGATGGGCCAGAACTCCCTAGCAACCACATAGCAACGTGCTTGAAACCACTCAGAACACCTTAGCAACACAGCAGCTGCCTAGCAACACTCCTGTAGCCACTGGCAACATTATAGCATCGTGCTGACTCTTGCACTGGAAAACATCACTCACAATCTCTTCAGAAAATGTAAAGCTTTGAGCAGATTTCAGTGGTTAGTGACAGCTGACAGAAGTAGTAATATAAATGTGAGTATTACACAAAGACACACAGCGCTCATCGTTCAATCAGCAGCTCAAACACACACAGCTCTTCATCTGCAGTGCTCTGATAATGCGCTTAATTCGATTGGCTGAATGTGATGAGGTCAGAATGAATGAGTAATGAGCTGATTACCGTAGTAATGCTATTATGGGATGTTTCAGGAAGAGGAATACAGCTGTAAATCAATTTATTATAGGCCATCACAGAACATACAAGACTGTTCTAGAACATTCTAAACACCCTCTGAAAACTTCAATGTGAACCACAGTGAAACCATCTCATAAAAATGATAGACACCACACACGTTTACGTATATGAGGTTTTAAAATATTATATGGTTTTCAAATAAAGTTAACTAAATGTATAGCTTTACACCTAAAATAAAACTTTTTGATATACACACATTCTGGCAAATGTAATATTTCAGCTCTATAAAATAATAATAAAAAAATAGTAGTAAGACAATAAAAAGTTAAATTTTAAAATGTAAAAAAGTTCAATTTATGGAATTATAATCCATTTATTAAAACTAGAATATTTTATTAAAAAAAATTATATATTTTAGTATTTAGCATTAGCAAAATATCTAAAATTATAAATAAATTATATTTATATATTATATTTATAATATTGTAGATATCCAATTTTTATCACTGAATGTTCAATTTCACCATGCTGTTTTCAACCATCTTCTAATGTGTGTTGCATTTGCACACACAAACACATGCTTTCAATCTCCTGTTCAATTTCAATCAGTGTTTTCTATCAAGGTGGGCGTGGCCACTCAATCTTTACTGCGATTGGGCGTTTCCTGGGCAGGTGTGGCCAGCATGGAACAGTATTTTATAGTAACAGGACATGCCCACTTCTGACCTCTTGGCAAACATAATCTCACTTTGTATGAGAATTCAGATCATCACTATATTTTGCATATGCAAACTAACCACACGCACTGACATAAATCTCTCTGTCCTTCTGTAACTCACACCCAGCTCATCTGGCTAATGTATGTGACCACGCCTGCATGCAAATGAAGCCACTAATCAACACAAACCAGAGACACGTTTGTTCCTGTCAGTAGCAGATCACTGGATGTAAACTAAAATACTCAAATAAATTCACTTTGAAACCTAGGTGTGTGTGTGTTCATGCTAATCCGCAGATTTTCATAATTGTATTTAACTTTAAAAAGTTGCATAATTGTGTTCCAATTTACAATTGGTCTGTACTAGTGTAAATATATATATATAAATACTTTTATAGTATTTTATCTAATATTTCATACATAATTTTTCATACTCAAAACCCCTACATTTAGCGGCTGTTGATGTTTAATATGAAAATAAATGGTTCATTTGTTAATTTATAAAATACTTGGCCTATTAGTTTACTAATTACATGTAACTCAGTCATCATAATGGGATTGTACCAGTACCAGTCACATATCACTTTTGCTCACCAAGGCTGCATTTATTTAATCAAAAATACAGTAAAAATGGTAATATTGTGAAATATTATTACAATTTAAAATAACTGTTTTCTATGTGAATATTTTTTAAATGTAATTGATTTCTGTGATCAAAGCTGAAATTTCAGCATCATTACTCCAGTCTTCAGATCCTTCAGAAATCAGTTGTGCTGCCTAATATTTTCGTGGAAACTGTGATACATTTTATTTATACCAATAAAAGCCTTTTAATGGTAATGTACTGTATATTCTTTACAGAGCATGATATCTGTTTTCTCTCATTTAATGAAAAAGGCAGTTCTTATTGTTTTGTTGCATTGAATAAATAGTCATGCGGATCTTTATTTTTATTTTTTTTAGAAAAACAGCCATTTAAAGAGAGCACTAACACAGCAGTCTGACACCATAAAACTTCAATGAATCAATTTTATTGGCATCCTGATAAAAATGACTGACACGTCTGGATGTGATCTTGAATTCATCAATTGTGACTGAAATGAATGATAACATTATCACATACCTTCCTGTGACCTCAAGCAGTATTCGTGGAGACTGTGATACATTTTATTTATACCAATAAAAGCCTTTTAATGGTAATGTACTGTATATTCTTTACAGAGCATGATATCTGTTTTCTCTCATTTAATGAAAAAGGCAGTTCTTATTGTTTTGTTGCATTGAATAAATAGTCATGCGGATCTTTATTTTTATTTTTTTTAGAAAAACAGCCATTTAAAGAGAGCACTAACACAGCAGTCTGACACCATAAAACTTCAATGAATCAATTTTATTGGCATCCTGATAAAAATGACTGACACGTCTGGATGTGATCTTGAATTCATCAATTGTGACTGAAATGAATGATGACATTATCACATACCTTCCTGTGACCTCAAGCAGTATTCACACACACACACACACACGCACGCACACACACACACACGCACGCACGCACGCGCGCACACACACACACACACACACACGCACGCACGCACACACACAGTCTCACACATCTGCCATCTGCAGCATGCGATTTCCTGATTTACAAGTTTTTCATTCAATATCACTCATTAATTGTTAAATAGTGATTGAGAATGGATTATTTAGAACTATTATAAAGTTATACATGAAAATTGTCATGACAATCACATTAATCTGTACAGTTCCCTAAGTGCATCTATAATCTAGATTCAGTTACTGAACAAAAACGCACGCACACACACACACACGCACGCACGCACGCACGCACGTACGCACACACACACACACGCACGCACGCACACACACAGTTTCACACATCTGCCATCTGCAGCATGCGATTTCCTGATTTACAAGTTTTTCATTCAATATCACTCATTAATTGTTAAATAGTGATTGAGAATGGATTATTTAGAACTATTATAAAGTTATACATGAAAATTGTCATGACAATCACATTAATCTGTACAGTTCCCTAAGTGCATCTATAATCTAGATTCAGTTACTGAACAAAAACTGTGTACCTTTCATGGCATGTAACTTGCATTAAGCCCGACAGACATATTTTTTCAAACAGTGTTTTGCATTACTTAAAACCTGTATTGCAAATATTTTGTTAAAGTAATAGTTCACCCCAAAATGAAATGTTACTTAAAATGGACTCAGGCCTCCTCAGGCCATCCAAGATTAGGATGAGTTTGTTTCTTCCTCAGATTTGTAGAAATGTAGCATTGCATCAGTGTCTCAGCAATGGATGCCCTGCAGTGAATGGGTGCCGTCAGAATGAGAGTCCAAACAGCTGATAAAAACATCACAATAATCCATAAGTAATCCACAGCACTCCAGTCCATCAGTTCACATCTGGAGAAGACAAAAGCTGAAATAAACCCAGCATTAAGACGTGTTTAATGCTTCCGGCTAAAATGTAACGCTTCCTCCAGTGAAAAAGTATTCTGGTCTGAATCAGGAGAGAAATCTGCACAGATCAAGCACTGTTTACAAGCCAAAACAGCTCTAAAAAAATATGTGTGTGTATTTTGAGGTGAGAGACAACAGGAGATGGACTTTTTCACTGGAGGAAGCGTTATTATGGATTATGGGCTCGTATTTTAGCCGAAAGCAATGGTTTGAAGTTAAAAACATCTTAATGCTGGATTTGTTTCATCTTTTGTCTTCTCTAGATGTGAACTGATGGACTGGAGTGGTGTGAATTACTTGTGGATTATTGTGATGTTTTTATCAGCTGTTTGGACTCTCATTCTGACGGCACCCATTCACTGCAGAGCATCCATTGCTGAGACACTGATGCATGCTTCATTTCTACAAATCTGTTCTGATGAAAAAACAAACGTATCTACATCATGGATGGCCTAAGGGTGAGTAATATTTCAGCAAATTAAAATTTTTGGGTGAACTATTCCTTTAAATGAGTTAACAGTGCATATTCTGCACATTCGCGCAGCTACGCTTCTGCTACGAATATAAGAGCCAAAATAAAAACATCCCACAGATGTCAGATGTGCGAAATGGCCTCAGTCTTCACACAAATTCACACACATACACACACTGCACACAAACTGGAGGGCAAACACACACATCCACGCAATCTAACAGTGGTTAATGGTAGGACACACACACACAAACACAAGGGATTTAACAATGGTAAACAGAGGATTCACACACACATTATGAAAAAACAAACGTATCTACATCATGGATGGCCTAAGGGTGAGTAATATTTCAGCAAATTTAAATTTTTGGGTGAACTATTCCTTTAAATGAGTTAACAGTGCATATTCTGCACATTCGCGCAGCTACGCTTCTGCTACGAATATAAGAGCCAAAATAAAAACATCCCACAGATGTCAGATGTGCGAAATGGCCTCAGTCTTCACACAAATTCACACACATACACACACTGCACACACTGCACACAAACTGGAGGGCAAACACACACATCCACGCAATCTAACAGTGGTTAATGGTAGGACACACACACACAAACACAAGGGATTTAACAATGGTAAACAGAGGATTCACACACACATTAAAGGATTTAACAGTGGTTAATGGCGGCATGATAAATGCATGTTTGTGGAGTGTGTGGGTGTTTGGGAGGTAAAGGCACCAAAGTTATGCATGTGAATTCTATGACCTGCAATGCTGCAAGAAACGTGTTTGTTTACATGAGTTTGTCTGTAGTATTTGCATGTGTACACCATGTATGTTTGGCTATGCCGTAGAGCAGAAGGCCTTATTTTAAATATATATCTATATATATATTTGTTTTATTGTATTTTCAAAACACAATTATCCATGGCTCCTTTAAAGGGCGGGGCCAGGGGCGGGGCCGTCCTCTCCGCCCCCTCAGTGTCATGCCTCAAGGGCGACGCTCCGGTCGAGAGGCGGGGCAACCAGTTGCCACAGGCAACACTAGTCTACAGGATGTGATGTCATAGCGAATGGGCGGGGCCGTCTCAGAGGCTAGTCTCCCGTAGAAACATGGTCCCAATGTTATAGGACACTTTCCGGATGGGGGCGGAGCGAGTGCTGGTGAGAGAGGCATGGCTCTGGGTTTTCCCCGCCTCCAGGAAATAGCAGATTCCCAGGATCTCTTTGGGGAAGTTGTCGGGAAGCTCCTGCCGGGAGCGAGGGATGAAGGTGAACGCACGATCGTCACGCAGGAGTCTGAGAGGAAAAGCAAATCGACAGGAATTAAAAATACAAGACCTGATTCTGACACAACCTCATTTGTAAAAACAAAAGATAAATTGAGTAAATAAAGCTTTTTTAAAATGTATTATTCTAAAAATCCAAATAGTTGTATTTTAGGATTAGTCTGTTGCAGGGATTACCAAACTTTTTTGTCAGCCAAACCCTTTAAAATATTTTCTTGAAGTATATTTTAAGTTAACATTTCTTTAATTCTATAAAGCGCATAATGAACTATTACTATCATATAACAAAATTGTTTTTATATTATAATCTTTTTATCTTATTATTATGATTTTATAATACTTTTAACTATAAAATCAAGATAAAAACATGTTATATAATAATACATCTGTACATTACAATCAAAAATAATATTTGATAATTAAAATAATCAGCAGGGATTCCCAAACTTTTTGTCAGCTAAGCCCCTTTGTCATATTTTAAGTTTATATTTCAATAATTAAACAAAGCATATATTATTATTATTAAATAGTTCTTATATTATTTTATAATATTTGTAACTATAAAAATCAAGACAAAAACATATTATTATTATTATATAATTATAATTTAAAATATATTAGATAATTAAAATAATTATTTTATATTTACTAATGTATCTCAAATTCTTCACTTTCAAATAGGGTTGTAATGGTATGAGATTTTCACGGTATGTATTATTTTCAAGGTATAGTCTCAGAAAATATCCCGGTATGCATTAAACAATAATTCTTATCAGTAACAATGACTCTTAAAAGAACAAGAACAAGTTATTTGAGTTAACAAATCCTTTATTACAACAAACTCGAAACCATTTTAATGAAAGTATTGAAAAAATAAATAAATTTTAAAATATATATATATTTTAATTAATGTTTTTAAATGTTTTTAAATGAAAATGTACAACTCCTTTTATTTTTGGCAAAGTTAAAACATGGATAAACATGATATTCCTTGAAAACAATGTTTAAATAAACTATTTAAAAATATTTATATATATTATTGTTGTTGTTATAACTTTGAAGTACATTGTACAATGCTAATATATTTGTCATAATTTCAAATCAAACCAAACTTTTATTTTGACGGGTTGTAGCGTACCTTTGAGTTTCAAAGTGTATTTGACAATGTTTTTTCTATCCCACTATCCAAGGATAGTGAATTGGTGGTTTTTGTTAAATGTGAGCCTAAATCATCACAATTAAAAGAACCAAAGACTTAAACTACTTCAGTCTGTGTGCATTGAATTTATTTAATACACGAGTTTCACAATTTGAGTTGAATTACTGAAATAAATGAACTTTTCCACGACATTGTTATTATAACTTTGAAGTACATTGTACAATGCTAATATATTTGTCATAATTTCAAATTAAACCAAACATTTATTTTGACGGGTTGTAGCAGACCTTTGAGTTTCAGAGTGTATTTGACAATGTTTTTTCTATCCCACTATCGAAGGATAGTGAATTGGTGGGTTTTTGTTAAATGTGAGCCTAAATCATCACAATTAAAAGAACCAAAGACTTAAACTACTTCAGTCTGTGTGCATTGAATTTATTTAATACACGAGTTTCACAATTTGAGTTGAATTACTGAAATAAATGAACTTTTCCACGACATTCTAATTTATTGAGATGCACCTGTAGATATTATCTCTGTCTCTGTCATTTTCTCCGCTGCTCGTGCGTGTGAACAGCCAAGTGTATGCAGAGGGAAGCAGTCGAGCGGAAATAAGTTGCATGTGCACGGGTGAGATTTTTTTTCATTCTTTTTTCGTTTCTTTTTTTAAACCGTAGATATGCAAATGTTTACGGTATGATAACCGTGCGCATTCAAACCGTGATAAACCGGCATACCGGTATATCGTTACAACCCTACTTTCAAACATTAAAAACACTGTCTGGTTCTGGTTACAAATCTGGCAAAATCCTGAAAACGCATGTCCTTAAAATTGTTAAAAATACTAATGCGAAAATAAAGTTATCCTGGTGCATGTTGCGTTTCCAAGTGCATGCTATAAGTGAAATGCAATGATGGATATGCGAATGTGTGTGTGTTTAATATGCATATACTTGTGCACATGTGTGGGTGTGTGTGTGTGTGTAGGTGTATATGTGTGCTTGATTATTCATATTGAGTGAGTTTAATCGTGCACATGTGTCTGTTCACCTGTGCATGATTATTCATGTCGAGTGTTTGTGGATGTATAAAAACACAGGTGCTCGCTGGTGCATTTTGAAACGTGTGTGTGTGTGTGAGCAGATCTTCAGAGCTGCACTTGACTGCAAAGTATCGTCCTTGACGATCTCGACTGAAGCAGGTTGCCATAGAAACAGATCACACATCAGCTGGTCTGGGTGTGTGTGAATGTGTGCTATCGTCCTTGACGATCTCGACTGAAGCAGGTTGCCATAGAAACAGGTGTGACTGTCTCCACTGCAGCAGAGTTACACATCAGCTGGTCTGGGTGTGTGTGAATGTGTGTGTGTGTGTGTGTGTGTTCTCTCACTGGTATGTAGTAGGGCTGACGTTGATGCAGCGCGGGTGACTGCCCGACTCAAACTTGCTGGCCAGCGTGACGTTGTTTCCAAACAGACAGTAGCGCGGCATCTTCACACCGACGACACCAGCCAGCACTGAGCCCGAGTGGATGCCGATCCTCAGCTACACAGACGGAAAGAGAGAGAGAGACACGGAGGGTAAAAGATCAGTTATACAGCGCATACAGTAGAGATCGCTTCAAAGTAGCTTCACAGTAATAAACAGGAAAAACAGTGTCGCAAAACTCTTCAGTCGAGAAGAATTTGCAGCAATGTGCAACATACAGTGTGAATAACAAAGGAAACTTGACTGTCAGATTGTTTCTAAACTGCACTGAAAAAAACAAGTGAAATTCACATTTTTTTTTATTTTGCAGATGTTTCTGCAAGTAAAATCCACTTAACTGCTTAACTAAATATATATATATATATATATATATACATACAACCAACCAGTAAAATCTTCAACAACACAAACACAAACTCAACATCAATATAACATTAGAACATTAAACACTAACAAGTCTTTGCCTCTTTTCAAAATACATAAAATAGAACTTAATTTCAACATTTACTCTCCCAATTTAGTCCTATGCAAAGCATGCTGGGAGCTAAAATCCCACCCATGAAGTTTCAGTACATGCAACAAAAATGTAGTATCAACACAAATTAAGTAAACTACAATTTGACATATTTATATGACAACACAATGAAATTAAGTTTATAAAATATTCAGTAACTGTTACTTTAGCTCACTGTAATTAATTGAACAACACGCGAAAATCATTTCTTCCAATGCAACAGTACATACAATAACACAAATATTGGGTAAAAGGTGTTTTATTTAAATGTTTTTATCAATATTTCTCAGTACTGAATGGTATACACAGTCCATATTTCTCTCAACATAAGCTCTTTACCAATTCCTAGTGAGCTGCTACCTTTCAATGCAGTTAAAATATTTGAACCAATGCTATGTACAGCAGAATCCATGGATATTAGAGTAT